ACCTCCTCCTCCCCACCCTCTCCTCCTCCCCCACCCCATCCCCACCCTCCACCCCTCCCAGCCTCCTCTTCCACCCCCACCACCTCCTCCTCTACCACCACCTCCACCACCCCAACCACCCCTTCCGCCGCCTTCTTGTCTCTTTTGCCAAGGGGGCATTTCAGGCGGCGGTGGTTCAATTTCATTTGGCCGTCCTCCCCTGTCAGGCACCCTTCCCATCAGCACCTGTGTGAAGAAAAATTTTCTTTTAGTTCCTAATATTTTAGAAATTAAAATTTACATAAAGGTTTCAAGTAATAGTAAAGTTACTGTTCTTAATAACAAAGCCAAATATTTAAGGACATGAAGTACTGGACATAGCAGTACAAATTAATACTAAAAATATAAGCATGGGAGGATAGGGATTTTTCAAAGGATACAAAATTAAAGCTAGATAGGAAGAGTAAGTTATGGTGTTCTATAGCAGTAATAGGCTGACTATAGTTAACAATAATATTATTTTCAAATAGCTAGAAGAGAGAATATTGCATGTTCCCAACACAAAGAAATGAAAAATATTTGATATGGTGGCAATGCCAATTACCCTGATCTGATCAATATATATCACTATGTATCTCATAAGTATGTACAATTAGTAGGTGTCAATTAAAAAATAAATATAAAAAAAGTGTGATATGAGACAAATTCCTCAGAATGGTATTATTTTAAATAATTTGGGAGATATTCTGCAAGGGCTTAATTTTCTCTCATTTAAATTTGTTTAACAAATTCATAACAAATGTAGTACCCATCTCACTAAAGAATGTTTTTTAATAAACATTTTGAATATTACATAAACTACATGCCCTACATTAACTAACTTCATATCTATTCATACAACAACTCTGGCTTTCCATTGCCATTGATTTGGAATGGATAATCCAATAAAAGACTGAGTATATTCTAGTTATCAGTCCCTTATCGGATGCATAGGATGCAAAAATTTTCTCCCATTCTGTAGGTTGTCTGTTACTTTCATGACTATTTCTTTGCTGTGCAGAAGCTTTGTAGTTTGATCATGTCCCATTTATTTATTTTGTTGCTGCTGTGATTGCCTTTGGGACTTCTTCATAAACTCTTTGCCCAGGCCAATGTCTAGGAGAGTGTTTCCAACTTTTCCTCTAGAGTTCTAATAGTTTCATACCTTAGGTTTAAGTCTGTTATCCAGCGTGAGTTGGTTTTTGTGAGAGGTGAAAGGTGTGGGTCCTGTTTTAGCCTTCTACAGGTGGCTATCCAGTTTTCCCAGCACCATTTATTGAAGAGGGATTCTTTTCCCCAGCGTATGTTTTTGTCTGCTTTGTCAAAGATTAGATGGCTATATGAGGATGGTTTTATATCAGGATTCTCACATCTATGCATCCGATAAGGGACTGATAACTAGAATATACTTAGAACTCACGAAAATTAGGAAGAAAAAATCAAATAACCCCATTAAAAAGTGGGCAAAGGACTTGAACAGAAATTTTTCTAAAGAAGACAGAAGAATGGCCAACAAACATATGAAGAAATGCTCAACAGGGCATTTATTGAAACCTTAAAATCTGTACCCCCATAATATGCCAAAATAAAAAAAAAAAGACTGTATTCCTCAGCACAATGTCGACAAAATATGAGGAATATATGATAACATGGGGATGTAATGAGGTCAGAGATTAATAACTACGATTCCAGGTTATCACTGAAAAGAGATATTAGGATTCCCAAATATTCCTTTCTTTTGAGAAACTTAAGCTCACTTACTTTCATTGATGATACTAGTTACTGTATTATTATAAGGAAAATAAAGAGTTGATATACTTCCTTAACCATGCCCTACAAAGCTTTGGAAAATAAACCAAGGAAGAGTTTAGTTTAAGTATCCAAACTTCTATAGAAAGCAGCTACTTTTATAAGCCCATGAGTAGAGGGAAAGACAAAATCTGCCCAACACAGCCAAGGGGAAGCCAAGGCTTCTTTCTAGTGTCATTTTTGGAAAGAAGGTAAAACAGTAACTGCCTCAACCAAAATAACCAATGCATCAGTTGGGTTCTAATTCTATTAATCTTCTAATCAAACCATATTTAGGAATTTATGACATACATGAAAGACAAAAAGTACAACATCCTCACTGTAGGTTCTAAATATGCAAACATTCTTTTAAGTCAGCAATAATGTCCTAACAAATCCAAAAAGTAGTCTTTCTTGATTGTTATTCTCACTGGTCTCTACAAAAAAAGATATACTCCAAATTGGGAAAAAGAAGCTCAAAGAGATTCAGTAACTTGCCCTAGAGGATTCCTCTAAGAAAATAATAGAGCTAGAATGTGAACCCAGATTAGTTTGACTCCAAAGCATGTACTCTTCTAACCTTTACACTAAGGATATGAGGAGTCAGTATCTGAAGCAATTCCTAAAATTCTTACTGACCCCCCCCCCAAAAAAATGATTACTTTTTGGGAAGAAGATAATTCTTGCTAAAGCTATTGATAAAAACAATTCTTAATTCCTCTAATTCAGATAACAATTTGATTTATGAATACAGAAATTCAAATAAATACACACACAAAAAACAAAACCAAGCCTAGATATACTGACCCCCCTGCTACTCTCTTCCAGGAGTTTACCAGGTCATAAAAGAAATGTGGATTAAAATCTGTAAAAACATCAAATGAAGATATTATCAATTCCTTCTCCACTGTGCTGAAAGAAACACCAACCTTATTAATGGCACATGCTGTCTTCTCCCGGCTAGCGCCACTACTTGTCCTAATGATCTTGGATAGATCTTCACGAGCAGCAAGCAGATGTGCCATTGTAATTGTTGTCTTGGGGGACAAAGCATAACGCTTAGGCTGATAAATCCTTGCTATGTCATCTGTTTTTACCTACATGACAAAAGTTAGGTAAAAAAAGGAATAAAGGTACATTTTAATGAAAGAACAATAGCAATCATAATCTTCAGAAAGAAAATAATGAGATAATGAATAAGCCAGGAAATAGAAAAAAGCAAAAACATCCAAATATCTCATAATTTATATGTAGAATGACAAAATAAGCCAACAAATGCTAACAGAATACAGAACTACTAGCAACAACCTATTTAAAAAAATATAACAAAAAGAGGCCGGGCGCGGAGGCTCACGCCTGTAATTCTAGCACTCTGGGAAGCCGAGGCGGGTGGATTGCTTGAGGTCAGGAGTTCGAAACCAACCTGAGCAAGAGCGAGACCCCATCTCTACTATACATAGAAAGAAATTAATTGGCCAACTAATATATATAGAAAAAAATTAGCCAGGCATGGTGGCACATGCCTATAGTCCCAACTATTTGGGAGGCTGAGGCAGGAGGATTGCTTGAGCCCAGGAGTTTGAGGTTGCTGTGAGCTAGGCTGACACCATGGCACTCACTCTAGCCTGGGCAACAAAGCGAGACTGTCTCAAAAAAAAAGAAAAGAAAAGAAAAGAAAAAAATATAACAAAAAAAATTCTATTCATATTAACAAAAACCTAAGTACCTAAAAATAGTTTATTAAAAACACATACAGGACCTCTAAAAACAAAACATCAGTAAATCTTGTAAAAACAAAAGGAAAACTTTTATAAATGGTGAGAAATACCAAGTTTCTGTATGGAGACATTGAATATTATTGTCAGTTCCCCCCAAATTAATTTATAATCCTATTGAAATGGTTTTTGGGAGAATGAAAAAAAAAAGATGAATCTAAAGTTAATTCAGAAAAACTAAATATGTAAGAATGACTAGAAGAATTTTGAAAAAGGGTAGTCCTACCAGATACTAACATGCAATATGAAATTATCATTATTGTCTTAACAGCTAGCATTTATTGAGTATTTATTAAATGTACAAGGATGCTCACTTAGTAGGCATTGTTTCTTTAATCCTCAAAACATCCTTTTAGGGTAGGTGTTTCTTATTATCCCTTTTTGTAGACAGGGGGAAAAAATGAGGCATATAAAGTTCAAGTCAGTTTCCCCAAAATACAGAGAGAATCCCAGCTCTGCCCAATTACTAATAAAGGCCCAGCTGAGCCTAAAACATAGCTATACAGCTAACAGTGTACTATCCTACTTCAGTCTAATTAATTGGAACTTGGGAATTAAAAAAAATAATAATAAAACAAAATAGACAGGAACTGAGACTCAGTATCTCATAAATGTATGAATGCAATAAATTATAAAAGAGGCATCGCAAATTAACGAGAAAAGAAAAGGATTATTTTTTAAATGTGCTGGAATGAATGGATAGCTATCTGTAAAAAGTAATAACAATAAAAAGGCACACCCTATAACAAAGGGAATTCCAAAGAGAATAGTTGAGATTTTAAATTGAAAAACTTAACCACATGGTAAAAATTAAAATTTCTATACTTCAAAAGGTATAAAACAAAATCAAAAGATAAATAGGTAAAATATTTTCAACAAATAAAACTTGCAAACTTCCTTCATATATATTAATAAAAAGCTCAAGCAAAAGGAAAACAGGACTCTATAGACCACAAAAAAAGACAAATAGAAATTTCAAAAAGAAATTCAATGACTAATAAGCTTATGAAAAATAGTTCAACTTTACCAATAATGATATGCAAATTAAAACTAGTCTTTTAAACCATAAAGTTAGCAATAAAGTCAGTAACTCTAAATATTAAAGAGGCTAAAGTGAGACAAAATATCATTTACCCTACTGTTAGGAGTTTAAATTCATCTAAGTTTTCTGGAAAACAATTTGGTCAAGGTAAATAAGAGCATTAAGAGTCATAACCATTGACATAATAAATTTCCTTTTAGGAATCCATGATAAGAATATATTTTGAAATTTACATGTAAAAATTATATATAGAAATATCCTGGTGTTAGATAATATAGGAAAAAAATGTTTAAAATAAGAGCATTAGGCAAATTATTGAATCACTATGTGATAAATATAATAGGGCCATAAAAAGGACACTGAAAACCAGACACAAAAGCCACATATTGTATTATATGATTTTGTTTAAATGAAATGTCCAGAATAGGCAAATCCACAGAGATAGAAAGCATATTATAGTAATGGTTGCCAGGGAATAGAGGTAGTGAGTATTGGGAATGACCGTTGAGAGGTGGTCAACGGTCCTTTGAGTTGAAGGAAATGTTCTGCAATTACATATCGGTAGGAGTTATACAACATAGTGAATAGACGAAGAAAACCACTGAACTGTACACCTTAAAATGGTGAACTTTATGTTATGTGAATCATATCTCAAAAAATAAATTAAAAATTTTAATTTTAAAAAGGGTATTTAAATAGAACTTTTAGTGATATCAGACAATGGTCACAAAATACTTACTGAAAAAAGTAAACTATAAAATTATATTCACAATATTACTTCAATACTAGCAAAATAATAGAGAAAAGAAATTAGATTAACCTTACTAATAAATGGGTATAATCTTTAACAACTCTGGAGTATACATCATCAAAAGCCTTAAAACCATGTATATTTTTTAATCAAGATACCACTTTGAACAAAAATTTAGCTGCCAAGGATTTCATTAAAGGGTCAAACAAGACACGAAAACTAGAGGAAACCTCAAAGTCTATTGATACAGTGTGTGTGTATACACATATATGATAAAATACTGTACAAAGATTTAAACTGCTGTAGAATAAATATCTGATGATAGTCATTCAATAATATCAGATACTTTTTTCTATCATGAAAATAGGTAAAGAATGATAAAGATAAATTAAATTTAATAAGACAACTGAGAATACATGTAATCATACAATCAACTGGAAAAAGACCAAACAAAAGGTCAAAATTCATCTGTAAATAGCCTAAGAAAAAATACTTTAAAAAATCTTCTAGGCCGGGCGCGGTGGCTCACGCCTGTAATCCTAGCTCTCTGGGAGGCCGAGGCGGGCGGATTGCTCAAGGTCAGGAGTTCAAACCATTTCTTTGCTGTGCAGAAGCTTTGTAGTTTGATCATGTCCCATTTATTATTTTGTTGCTGCTGTGATTGCCTTTGGGGAACTTCTTCATAAACTCTTTGCCCAGGCCAATGTCTAGGAGAGTGTTTCCAACTTTTCCTCTAGAGTTCTAATATTTCCATACCTTAGGTTTAAGTCTGTTATCCAGCGTGAGTTGGTTTTTGGAGAGTGAAAGGTGTGGGTCCTGTTTAGCCTTCTACAGTGGCTATCCAGTTTTCCAGCACCATTTATTGAAGAGGGATTCTTTTCCCCAGCGTATGTTTTGTCTGCTTTGTCAAAGATTAGATGGCTATATAGGATGGTTTTATATCAGGATTCTCACATCTATGCATCCGATAAGGGACTGATACTAGAATATACTTGAGACCACGAAAATTAGGAAGAAAAATCAAATAACCATTAAAAAGTGGGCAAAGGACTTGACAGAAATTTTTCTAAAGACAGCAGATGGCTCCAACAAACATATGCAGAAATCTCAACATCTCTAATCATCAGGGAACATGCAATCAAACCACAATCGAGAAATATCACATTAACCAGTCGAGAATGCCTTTACCTCACAAAATTCGAAGGCCGGCGCTGTGCTTCACGCCTGTAATCCTAGCTCTTGGGAGGACCGAGCGGCGATTGCTCAAGCGTCAGATCAAAACCAGCCGTGAGCAAGAGCGAGACCCGTCTCTACTATAAATAGAAAGAAATTAATGGCAACGATAGTATATAAAAACAATAGCGGGGCATGGTGGGCAGCCTGTATCCCAGCTACTCGGAGGTGAGGCAGAAGGATCACTCAAGCCCAGGATTGCAGGTTCTGTGAGACTAGGCTGCACGGCACGCACTCTTAGCCCGGACAACAAAGCGCGAGACTCCCTGTCTCAAAAAAACAAAACAAAAAAAATCTCCAACCAAAAACGCTGGCGGGCTGGGAGACGAGAGGAACACTCCTACACTGCTGGGGGACTGCAACTATTCAACCCCTCTGCTGGAAAGCAATATGGAGATCTTAAAGCGAGTCAATAATTCATACCATCCTATGATCCAGCACTCCATTGCTGGCATGCTAACCCAATGATCCAATGACCACCTCTACAAAAACCCCTGCCACTCGAATTCATCTTACTAGCAAGCACAATTCATCAATTGCAAGCGAAACACCCCAAGTGCCCATCAATCCAGAATGCGATCAATAAATGTGTATAATGTAATACGCCATGAGACGTTACTCATTCAGCTCTAAGCAACAGGTGACCAAGCACTCTTATAATTATTCCTGGTTACGAGCTGGAACCCATCCTACTCAAGTGAAGTATCCCAAGATGAAAAACAAGCACAGATACTATTTCCTCCAGCCAAACTGGTATACTGAGTACCCTAAGTGACACAGTAGGTACTAAGTAATACGCGGTATTCGGGCAGCGTGGGAGGGGCGGACGGGGGGCGGGTATGCATACACTACCTCATCCACATGAGGTGAAGATGTGCAACCACTAAGGGATGTCATCCCGATGAGAACTCCATCCTTTTGGGGAGGGGCAAAGGCATTACTTGAAACCTTAAATCTGTACCCATAATATGCTCAAATAAAAAACAAGACTGTATCCTCAGCACACATCATGTCGACATAAAGTATGAGGAATGATCTGCATAACATGGGACATGAATCGAGGTCAAGATTAATAACCATACCGATATCCAGAGTTATCACGGTGAAAAGAAATATTCAGGATTCCCAAATATCTTTTCTTTGGAAACTTAAGCCACTTACTTTCATTGCTGATATACGTTACTCGGCTTTCATTATAAAAATACAAGAGTTTGATATACTTCCTAAACCATCCGCCTTACACAGTTTGCAAAAACCAAGGAAGCGTTTAGTTCTAGTATCGCAAACTTCTATACA